TGGCGAAAATCGACGTGCCATTGAAAGATCTTGACGGTGTCGAGTTAAGGCAGAGGTTGCAGAAGAAGGGATTACTAACCAAGAGCCAAGTGAAGAGGTTGGAGAAGATGTCGAGCGAAACGCATAACAACGAGTTGATCGGGTGGATTCAGTCGTCACGTCGCCATGGATATGTTGCGCTGTGCGAGGTTATTCAGGAGTTGAAAGTTGTTGACCCAGAACTGTTGAAAGACATGAAAAACCTGCTGTAACCCGAGTGACGTGTGAAAAAGGTACGCAATCCCTGTCACGGTCCATTGGAAACGTGCTCCTATGTCTTTCTAGTACATTCTACATGCTCGGAACGCACGTGCGTTTGGAGCCGAGAGACTTTCTGAATCTCACTCCCTCGTGCACAGCCTGGTGTATATTATACAGATGTTTGAATCTGTGCGGCTCTCCCCTATCCAAAGCAACCGCTTTGTTTCCACTTGGTTGCGAGTTGTTGTTTCTCGCCAGTCTGTCCGCACATTACGCAATGCCAGTAGTAAAACAGTACATGAGTGGACACTGTTGACGGTCGAGAGGCTGGACGGCGTTGGGGATTGCAATAACTGTCTTTTTTTCGGCAAAAAGATTCATAGGGCTGGCCGTGTAATCGGCATTTTGACATGTTGCTTCTTGGAGACTATTCTGTTCTTCTGTCTGATAGCATTGTTGTGTCCTAGAAAACCGCTCATACGTATGTGTATAATTTGTTATCGCATAGAGGGTCAAGCCTTTGGCTTTGTGCGGTATCCCTGGTAACAGGGCATGCCTGAAATTGTCGTCTCAGTTGTCAATGAATGGGATTTTCGGTCTTTGACCTTTTTGCTGGTGAGCTGATCTCCTCACCTCCCACCTCCCACCGCTTCGGGAGCTGCATCTGCGCCTTGACCCTTGAAGGGTGGTGGTGTTCCTACGGATGCGGAAAATTCGGCCTCTAACAGTTAGCCGAGTCTGACTCGAACCGTGAATTAAAAAAAAGAAATTTGCCATGCAGTGTACAGTATACATTGTTGTGTTGTTCACTTCATGGCTGTCCCGCTCTAATACTCACTACAATGGTGGCGACTGAAATCCGACCCCAGCTCGGTGCATTCACATTGATTCCAAAAACAAACCAGCACACGTTTCTACACTGCCAAGAGACCACTACTGTGTGTTCAAAAGTATTGACCTCTGGTTTCAAAAAAGAACCTTGGGCCAGCATTTATACCACATAATCTGTGATCATTTTGTGCATAACAATTTTCCGAAAATGGACGTGTGTTATCCAATCGCCTAGAAAATTAGTAGGTTTCAAATTCAAAAAGGGGCAGAGCTTACCACACAGGGCAGAACAACATAGATCAAAAATCCTTCTCGTGACTCCGATTTTCGTGTTTCAAAAAACACTCATCATTCGTCTGATGAGTGTTTTTTGAAACACGAAACTCGGAATCACGAGAAGGATTTTTGGTCTCTGTTGTTCTGCCCTGTGTACGTGTAGTACAAGTAGTTATTGCTGCGTCTTGTTGTTTTCTTGTGTATGGACACAGGATGATGGTGGTGATGGTGATGGTGGCCATGATTGATCAACACTGGATCGCGGCGAGAATTTGTTCTGTCTGTCTCTCTCTCTCTTCCTGTGAGTCCTTCTGTCTGTCTGCCGGTACGTCTTTCTGTCCGTTTTTCTGCTTCACCTCAGACTCTAGACTGAGCTCTCTCCTTCACTTTCTCTCACTCTCGCTTGCTCTTGCTCTCACCCAGTCTCTCGCTCCCACTCACTCATTAAGTCGCGATATTCTTCATTTGCCTCCTGCATTCGCTATCGTAAGCACTACTTCCTTTGAGTATTCCATTCTTCTTCTTCTTCTTCTTCTTCTTCTTCTTCTTCTTCTTCTTCTTCTTCTTCTTCTTCTTCTTCTTCTTCTTCTTCTTCTTCTTCTTCTTCTTCTTCTTCTTCTTCTTCTTCTTCTTCTTCTTCTTCTTCTTCTTCTTCTTCTTCTTCTTCTTCTTCTTCTTCTTCTTCTTCTTCTTCTTCTTCTTCTCGGTCTTTCAATTGCTACATGACGCGCTAGAGACTGCTCTCCCTTAGCTTCTACCTAGCTCCTTTTATTGGTACATGATCACAAAGTATTTTTTCACTCCTTAGCAGTGCAACACCATGGGCCCCGCGTGCTGGGGCAAAGTGGCACGGAACCAGAATGCTGGATTTCCCCGCGTGCCCTTCGCTCCATGCACAGTACCTGACCCATGTGTAGAGTCTAGATAGATTATCTGAGTTGTGTTGAATTGTCATTCAATTTCTTTTTATTCTCAAAAACATATTATCTCTACATTCTACCTCGGTGACTTAGAACCTCGCTTTAGGTCCGTATTTGACTATTTGAGCTTAGACACTGCTGGAAAAGCAGTGCACTAGTCCGACGTCATCATGTCGAATAGCGGAACTTTTTTTAATTCTTTTCCGGTTGAACCGGTATGCTCATAGAATTATCAGCTTCTGCGCGGCCCCATTTCTGTCTATCCTTTTCACTTTGGCTGCCCTTTTCACTTTTTGCATTGCTTTTTCAAAGGGCAACTTCTTTAATTTTTCTAAGGAAGTGCTATTTTCACAGCAGCCATTTTCACAAATAATTGCTGTTGCCGGTTGAACCGGTATGCGTAATCACATTCTGCTCGTTTTTTATTCCTGCACTTGCTTTTCATTTTTACTGTCTCTTTGCCTTCGTACTTCTATTTTCAAAGCACCTTTTATTTCATTTTTCAAGGCACCGCAATTTCCAAAGAAGCCATTTACATAAATGATTTTTATACTTTTCTAAAGCACTGGCACGTAAAAAAAAAAAAAAAGTAAATTATTGTATCCGTTCCCGAAGGGAACTCACGACGGCCGCTAACACCCTCTCAACCGGGTCACTAATCACCATCACTGATTTTAAACTGCAAATCTCGCCCTAGATTCATTCACCTTGGGGAAAGGAGGGGGTATGACTCTCTCGTTTTCACGTGGACATTGAGATTGTTACAGTGGCCTGCATGTACCGTTCTTTTGCGCACGACACACAGTGACCCGGTTGAGAGGGTGTGTGTACAGCATGGTGATTAGTGACCCGGTTGAGACGGTGTGTGTACAGCATGGTGATTAGTGACCTGGTTGAGAGGGTGTGTGTACAGCATGGTGATTAGTGACCCGGTTGAGAGGGTGTGTGTACAGCATGGTGATTAGTGACCTGGTTGAGAGGGTGTGTGTACAACATGGTGATTAGTGACCTGGTTAAGAGGGTGTGTGTACAGCATGGTGATTAGTGACCCGGTTGAGAGGGTGTGTGTACAGCATGGTGATTAGTGACCTGGTTGAGACGGTGTGTGTACAGCATGGTGATTAGTGACCTGGTTGAGAGGGTGTGTGTACAGCATGGTGATTAGTGACCTGGTTGAGAGGGTGTGTGTACTGTACAGCATGGTGATTAGTGACCCGGTTGAGAGGGTGTGTGTACTGCATGGTGATTAGTGACCCGGTTGAGAGGGTGTGTGTACAGCATGGTGATTAGTGACCCGGTTGAGAGGGTGTGTGTACAGCATGGTGATTAGTGACCTGGTTGAGAGGGTGTGTGTACAGCATGGTGATTAGTGACCCGGTTGAGAGGGTGTGTGTACAGCATGGTGATTAGTGACCTGGTTGAGAGGGTGTGTGTACAGCATGGTGATTAGTGACCTGGTTGAGGGTGTGTGTACAGCATGGTGATTAGTGACCCGGTTGAGAGGGTGTGTGTACAGCATGGTGATTAGTGACCCGGTTGAGAGGGTGTGTGTACTGTACAGCATGGTGATTAGTAACCCGGTTGAGAGGGTGTGTGTACAGCATGGTGATTAGTGACCCGGTTGAGAGGGTGTGTGTACAGCATGGTGATTAGTGACCTGGTTGAGAGGGTGTGTGTACAGCATGGTGATTAGTGACCTGGTTGAGACGGTGTGTGTACAGCATGGTGATTAGTGACCTGGTTGAGAGGGTGTGTGTACAGCATGGTGATTAGTGACCCGGTTGAGAGGGTGTGTGTACAGCATGGTGATTAGTGACCTGGTTGAGAGGGTGTGTGTACAGCATGGTGATTAGTGACCTGGTTGAGACGGTGTGTGTACAGCATGGTGATTAGTAACCCGGTTGAGAGGGTGTGTGTACAGCATGGTGATTAGTGACCCGGTTGAGAGGGTGTGTGTACAGCATGGTGATTAGTAACCCGGTTGAGAGGGTGTGTGTACAGCATGGTGATTAGTGACCTGGTTGAGAGGGTGTGTGTACAGCATGGTGATTAGTAACCCGGTTGAGAGGGTGTGTGTACAGCATGGTGATTAGTGACCCGGTTGAGAGGGTGTGTACAGCATGGTGATTAGTGACCTGGTTGAGACGGTGTGTGTACAGCATGGTGATTAGTGACCTGGTTGAGAGGGTGTGTGTACAGCATGGTGATTAGTGACCTGGTTGAGAGGGTGTGTGTACAGCATGGTGATTAGTGACCTGGTTGAGAGGGTGTGTGTACAGCATGGTGATTAGTGACCCGGTTGAGAGGGTGTGTGTACAGCATGGTGATTAGTGACCCGGTTGAGAGGGTGTGTGTACAGCATGGTGATTAGTGACCCGGTTGATGGGTGTGTGTACAGCATGGTGATTAGTAACCCGGTTGAGAGGGTGTGTGTACAGCATGGTGATTAGTGACCCGGTTGAGAGGGTGTGTGTACAGCATGGTGATTAGTGACCCGGTTGAGAGGGTGTGTGTACAGCATGGTGATTAGTGACCCGGTTGAGAGGGTGTGTGTACAGCATGGTGATTAGTGACCTGGTTGAGACGGTGTGTGTACAGCATGGTGATTAGTGACCCGGTTGAGAGGGTGTGTGTACAGCATGGTGATGAGTGACCCGGTTGAGAGGGTGTGTGTACAGCATGGTGATTAGTGACCTGGTTGAGAGGGTGTGTGTACAGCATGGTGATTAGTGACCCGGTTGAGAGGGTGTGTGTACAGCATGGTGATTAGTGACCCGGTTGAGAGGGTGTGTGTACAGCATGGTGATTAGTGACCCGGTTGAGAGGGTGTGTGTACAGCATGGTGATTAGTGACCTGGTTGAGAGGGTGTGTGTGTACAGCATGGTGATTAGTGACCTGGTTGAGAGGGTGTGTGTACAGCATGGTGATTAGTGACCTGGTTGAGAGGGTGTGTGTACAGCATGGTGATTAGTGACCTGGTTGAGAGGGTGTGTGTACAGCATGGTGATTAGTGACCCGGTTGAGAGGGTGTGTGTACAGCATGGTGATGAGTGACCCGGTTGAGAGGGTGTGTGTACAGCATGGTGATTAGTGACCTGGTTGAGAGGGTGTGTGTACAGCATGGTGATTAGTGACCCGGTTGAGAGGGTGTGTGTACAGCATGGTGATTAGTGACCCGGTTGAGAGGGTGTGTGTACAGCATAGTGATTAGTGACCCGGTTGAGAGGGTGTGTGTACAGCATGGTGATTAGTGACCTTGTTGAGACGGTGTGTGTACAGCATGGTGATTAGTGACCTGGTTGAGAGGGTGTGTGTACAGCATGGTGATTAGTGACCTGGTTGAGAGGGTGTGTGTACAGCATGGTGATTAGTGACCCGGTTGAGAGGGTGTGTGTACAGCATGGTGATTAGTGACCTGGTTGAGAGGGTGTGTGTACAGCATGGTGATTAGTGACCCGGTTGAGAGGGTGTGTGTACAGCATGGTGATTAGTGACCCGGTTGAGAGGGTGTGTGTACAGCATGGTGATTAGTGACCTGGTTGAGAGGGTGTGTGTACAGCATGGTGATTAGTGACCCGGTTGAGAGGGTGTGTGTACAGCATGGTGATTAGTGACCTGGTTGAGACGGTGTGTGTACAGCATGGTGATTAGTGACCTGGTTGAGAGGGTGTGTGTACAGCATGGTGATTAGTGACCTGGTTGAGAGGGTGTGTGTACTGTACAGCATGGTGATTAGTGACCCGGTTGAGAGGGTGTGTGTACTGCATGGTGATTAGTGACCCGGTTGAGAGGGTGTGTGTACAGCATGGTGATTAGTAACCCGGTTGAGAGGGTGTGTGTACAGCATGGTGATTAGTGACCCGGTTGAGACGGTGTGTGTACAGCATGGTGATTAGTGACCTGGTTGAGAGGGTGTGTGTACAGCATGGTGATTAGTAACCCGGTTGAGAGGGTGTGTGTACAGCATGGTGATTAGTGACCCGGTTGAGAGGGTGTGTGTACAGCATGGTGATTAGTGACCTGGTTGAGAGGGTGTGTGTACAGCATGGTGATTAGTGACCTGGTTGAGGGTGTGTGTACAGCATGGTGATTAGTGACCCGGTTGAGAGGGTGTGTGTACAGCATGGTGATTAGTGACCTGGTTGAGAGGGTGTGTGTACTGTACAGCATGGTGATTAGTAACCCGGTTGAGAGGGTGTGTGTACAGCATGGTGATTAGTGACCCGGTTGAGAGGGTGTGTGTACAGCATGGTGATTAGTGACCTGGTTGAGAGGGTGTGTGTACAGCATGGTGATTAGTGACCTGGTTGAGACGGTGTGTGTACAGCATGGTGATTAGTGACCTGGTTGAGAGGGTGTGTGTACAGCATGGTGATTAGTGACCCGGTTGAGAGGGTGTGTGTACAGCATGGTGATTAGTGACCTGGTTG